CTACTTGCAAAAGTCCAGGGCAGGCGGGGTGGGGTGGGGTGGGGGTTGGGTTGGAGGGTCTAACAGGAAACCCTTGGCGAAGTGCCCGAGGCGGAAGGTAGGGGAGGGGGTTTGAATGGGACATCGGGGGAGGGAAGGGGAGGAGAGGGGGAAGGAGGAAAGCCTGTGGTGAGAGAGGTGAGGTGGATGGGGGCTCGGCGGTTACGCGAAGGGGGAGGAGGCCACTCTGAGCCATGCCGCCACTTCCCCATACACATCTTTCTTCCCACCCCACCCACCCCACCCCAGACGTTACAGTACTACATACAGACGCACATCGGGGCTCTTGTCCAGAGACAGAGTGACCGTTCCCGGGGATTGCACGCCAGGTACGGCACGGTGGCCAGATCGTACGCCGTACTTGACGGTCGTGGGATTCCCTGGTGGCAGCCGAAACACAGGCAGGGGTTTACACGTGTGTATGCCGTGCATATGTACTGACACCAACAAAATCAAGCAGCGAGCAAATCACACCACCAGCCACCCCACATAGCATATGGCCACCAACGCCATAGTCATAGCAACCACGGTTTCTCCAGCCTCCGCCCCTTCATTCACCAGTGGTTCGCCGTACCCCCCTCACACATACATACATACATACACACATACATACATACATACACACATACATACATACATACATACACACATACATACATACACACATACATACATACATACATACACACATACATATGCACCCCACGTCTCGCACCGGCCTTTATCCCATCCACCCTCCCTTCCGCCATAAGCATCAGCACCACAACCCCCGCCACCCCCGCCATAAAACACCTCTCAACCAGCAACCGCCAACCGCCAACTGCCACCCACCCACCTGTGTTAATGGTAACGATAACGTCCAGCAGTTGTGTGTGGCTGTACCCCTGAAGGGAGGGGGTAGGGCCGGGTAGGAGTACGGCCCCAGTGGAAACACAGGGGGGAGGACGGGCCAGTCAGGAATTCACAAAAAGGGAGTGGTAGTGCCGTACATTCGGCCTACCCCAGCCTACCCAGATCAGTTCAAATGGGGGTTTGGAGGCAATTTGAACCCCCCGGGGGCTGCTGCCCCTCCTTCCAAAATACCTCTCACTCACACAAGTGCCACACACACACACACCCTACCGCACCGCGAGGTCACCCTAGGCCCCTTCAACCCGAACGGGAATTCGAGTTCAAGTCCAAGTCCGAGTACCAGTCGGTGGTTTTCCTTTCCTTTCCTTTCCTCACCCCTACCGCCGCCGCGTCCACTCTACCGTCCTTCACCCTCCCGCCCTCCCCCCCTCCCTACAACCGGCCCCCCTCCCGCCCTCCCCCCCTTCCCCCCCGACGGCCCACCTCGGGTATCATGCTGTAGGGTATTTCCGTGGGCAGCCGCATCACGTAATGCCCCTCCTCGAACGTCAGCGGCTCGAAGGTGGTGATGGTGACCCGGAGCCTGTCGGCGGGCTGGCAGGCGCCCGGGGGGCCCAGGGGCAGACAGAACAGCTCCGGGTCGTTGGCGGTTTCGGAGTTCTGGGGCTGACCGCTGGGACCTGCGGGGGAGGTGGTGGTGGGGGGGGGAAGACGAACCACGAACCCGAGTGAAGCCGCTGCCAAGGAAAGAGTGTACAAGAAGCAGAACTGACCAGTAGGCGGTTTTGAAGTGGGAAGTGGGGGAAGGAGGCTTGAGGGGTGGGGAGAAGGCGGTGTGTTTGTGTGTTTATGTATGTGTGTTTTGGGGGAATGGGTTTGGGAAGGGTCTTTCCCCCACCCCCACCCCCACATTCATAAACCATCCCCCAACTCCCCACCTACCGTACACCGTGCTTGGCTTGTAACCTCCCTTCTGCACATCATCCGCGGGTACGATTGCCGTGACGAAAATCTGCCCGTGCCGTACGTGTCAAGGAAGGAGAGGCAGGGTTAGGGGGTTATTGTGGCAGGGTTTCGTAGAAAGAGGGGAAAGGGGGATCGTAAAATACACACACACACACACACACACACGCCGGCATCGGAAGCCGCACCTGCACAACTCCAAAGCAGTGACATAATGTTACGGCGGAAACGGAAGTGGGTCAGAAACACGCATACATACACACCTGTATACGCAGGAGTGCAACCACTGGAAATGCGTGATCGTGTATGTACGTATGTATATATGTATGTATGTATGAAGTAGGGGAGGGGGTTACATACATACATACATAACTTCCCGCCGCGGGGTGTGGCCTCTGACCGACCTGCTGGCAGCGGTCCCCCTGGCACCTTCCCGCCCGGGTGCGTGTTCCCCCTTTGGGGGGGGGGGGGGAAAGAGACCCCCGTCATCTTCTTCATCACATCACCACCACCACGAGTGCCGACTGCCGCAAAATCATCGCAGTGACGTTTTGGAGACCAGCACACTACTACCACTACTGCCACCAGCAGGAGAATTTGCCGGATCAACGACGGCGGCGACAAATCCGCCTCAATCTCCTGCCGACTTGTCTTGCAGGTTTCTTCTCATCACCGCCCATCGACATCGGGGCGCATCACATCCACAACCCCTAACGGTGGAGGAGTTTACAATCCGCACACTGTCGGAATTGAACCTGGAACTCTCCAGGAATACGATGCCGTGAAAAACATTTGCATACCTGTCGTCTCGGAACTGTATTATCGTGTCTGTATATATGTTTGCTTTAGGTGTGGCTGTGTTTGCTTCTTTCCTCCCTTCCCCAAACAACAAGTACGCCCCCCGCCCTCCAACCCCTCCCTCCCTCACCCCGGCCTACCCACCTTGTCTCTGTTCAGGTTCTCCACCACCACCTCCGAAACCACCGTGGAGGTGGTCTTGGGCACGTAGAGCTGCAGGGAACCTGCTCGCCAGGTCTAGGAGGGAAAGGGGGAAGTGCGCCCGGGAACGGGGGACGAGGGAACAGGGGCCGGGGAGGTGAGGGGAGAAGACAGGGCCGCGAGGTGTGCGTGTGTGTATGTGCATGTTTGGGGTTAAGATGGGTGCGCCACTGGCGAGTGAAGCAGCATGTGCGTGTGGGGGCCGGGGAGAGGAGGGACGGGAAGGGGAGTGCCTAAGAGAAGATGCACCTGGGGAGTCAGGCAGGGGGGAGGGGGGAGGGAAGGGAGTGCACTTCCTGGGGAGGGGGACTGCCGGAGAAGCCCAATACTGTGTGTGAGTGTGTTGGGATGTTGAGGTGGAGGCCAGCACCACCCGAGCGAAGGGGAGGCGGCAGCAGGGGCCCCGACAGGGCAGGGAGGAATCGCACAGCCCCAGCGTAGGTATCCCCCATCTCCCCGTTCCCCCTGTCTGTCAAGTCACACACCTGCGGCAGGTACGCGTCAAGAGTGGTCTTGACGAAGGCCACACTGATCTGGCATTGAACCTCCGCGGCCAGGCGGGTCAGGGGCAGCGCCACGAAGCCCTCACCCGGCCCCATAGCCGACACCAACATGGGGCAGCTCACGGTCAGGTTGCCCACCTTGGGACGCCTGTGCGTATGTGCGTATGTATGTATGTATGTATGTATGTATGTATGTATGTATGTATGTATGTATGTATGTATGTATGTATGTATGTATGTATGTGTTTAGAGGGACATGAGAAGAGAGAGAGAGGGGGGGGGAGAGACGGCGGGAAAATAAAGGGGGTGAAGGGCAAAAACGAGCCCCTGGTACAATAACTTGAAGGTGGAGAAGGAGCGCGGAGGTTGTGGAGATGGGGGTTGGTAGCGGGTTTTAAGGATTGGTTGGAGGTAGAGGGAAAAAATCGATAATGGGCAATTATGCCCACGAGTTTCCTCTTGGAGGGTGCGAGACATTGGATCGATTGCGGGATACGTGTTGTATGGATGGATTTAAAGCTCGGATCCGTTAAAAGCTGGATCCATTGCTCGGATCCTCTGTGCCGAGGTTGAAAGATCCATGGCTGGATTTCCTTTAGCGCCAGATCGAGTGGTGAAATATGATGCAGCAGCAGCAGCGCCAGCACCCGGGGACCGCAGCAACGTGCGCATTCATGCAGCGGATTATCTTAGTTGGCATGGGGTTGGAGGAGTTCCTGCATGAGAGGCTGCAAATGTGGCATAATCTCTTTGTTTGTTGTGTGGTCTGCCCGCAGCCGGGGGACTGCGGCCTTTTACGGGTTGAGTCCGTGGCTGTGCGTTGCGGCCGGTGACCCGTTAAATTCCTGACAGTTGCAGTAGCTGGCCTGCTGGAAAGAAGTCGCTAGCAGAAAAGGCGGATTCCAGACATGCGATTTGACGGGGCTTCCATAATCTACCCCGACATATGCGTGCTGACGTTTGAGACTTCGCGTTCCCAGCCCTTGCAGCAGGATGCGTATTCCGCTAATAACACGACCGACTTCGAACAGCACCCTTTCCTTCCATGGAGCAAGAAATCAAAAAAGTATACTTTAACTTAAACACAAATAACTTTACAACTTGTTCGCGCCGTGTCTGCTTACCTGGCCACACTACGGAAGCTGGCCTGGGCTTTGGGGGGTATCATCGGGTACCCCGTTGCCGGCTGTCCAGGAATATGTGGAGCTTGTCCCGGAAGGCCAGCGTGGGCTTGTAGGCTTCCTTGCGGGAACATGGACTCGAGTCCGCGGCCTAACCTAAATTGATGAACTCTAAAGGTTGTATTTATTGTTCAATGGAAACGGGCACATCATGTGGTTACATCTAATTACCTACTTGACAAGCAGCTTCTCTTGTCCAGTCAAAGTACTAGTTTGGCGAAGAAAATTAAGCGAAGGTAGCTATGCCATGAAAAAAATTAAAGGCGAGAAAGCTTAAAACTGTTGTAGTCAACTTTTTTTATGTAATCAGCGTAGATGAGTGGGGACCAAGCCTTGGATTCTCGCTAGGTTCATGATTCCTTGTGTCGGCAGGTGCACGAGTCTTAACACTTCCTTCCATAACTCCAACACATTCATCCTGCAAAATCGTTACACACAATACTGATCTCAGGCCCTTCCATACGCAGCGCAAAAGCCTCATACAGGACGCATAGGTCATCACCCAGCCGTCAAAACTATCTGATCATGGAACCGAACACCGCAGGCTCCTTCCAGCGGAGAAACATCACATCCATTGGATATGGACATGCACCCTTGCACAGAAGAATGGCATGCATATGCGTGTGGCGCGGTGCGCTCGTTCTCTTCGCAACCGCAACCAAAATATATTGCGACCCAAATGCACGTGGTCAGTCAACGGCGGGCCTGCCTTCTGGCCACCACCAAACCTGGACTCAAGCATGTAGCGCATTTTTTTAAAAAAGCGTTTGCCATATGTGGTTTCGTGTTACCTTAAGCTATTATAGCGACCCCGCACAGACATATACTTTTACCCAAATGCATAACCGCAAAAAAAACTAAAAATTGCGGCCAGCGCCGGGAAACCGGTCAACAAGCACTGCACCTGCACAAGCCGGACAAAGGACAGAGCAGGCAAGTGGCACATGCATCAGCAATACGCCAGCAACGCTTCTTCCCACCGTCCCAACCGAATCCATACAATTCAAGCTTGCTGCGCCCTTTTAAAGGTTGTATGCAGCGCAGCGGCAAAGCAGTTACCCCGCGCCCCTCCAGTAAACTCCCCAAACCCCCTCACAAAGAAAAAGTCCCCAGCTTCACTCTTATTTCCATTCTAGGGTTTTGCCGTGAAGTCAATGACCGCCACCACCACCATCACCACCACCACCACCGCCTCCCCGTCGTCGCCGCCACTCTTTTCCCCCATCTACAAGACCGCCTTTCCTAACTCAATCCAGCTTAGCGAAAAGGTCTCAATCACCGTATACGCCGCGTCCTCTCACTCACTCACACATACACACACCACAAAAGCATAGCACACAGCATACATGTATACTATTATACCCAATATACATTATGCAGATTTCAGCCATGTGTCGATTTTTCCTCGACGGCCGGAGACGCCGAGGATATACCGAGCAGCAGTGCCAGCGTGTGGCAAACAAACACGCCGTGTCACAACTGCCTCACAACCGCCACCGTCGGCTACTCCGGCCAAACCCGCCCTCGCCAACAAAGCAGAGAGATATCCAGCAGATCATCGGTGACGATGTCAGTTGGCTCTTATCTAAAGCACATTCCTACTACTACTACTACTACTACTACTACTACTACTACTACTACTACTACTACTACTACTACTACTACAACACACCGGCTGATTGCTCACGTCCTGCTTACGATGCACAGGACAGCCCCTTCTCCCCACCCCGTACCACAATCTAACCATGCCGTACATCACACGGCTCCCATCATACGTGCCCCTCCTCCTCTCCGCCTTTTCCTTCTCCCTCCCCCCCAAATCATCCTCCTCCTCCACCTTCCGCCCCCGTCGCTTCTAACAGGCTGCGGAATACACTCTGCCGTACACGTCCAAAGGGCCCATGTGGTGGGCCCCGGGGGGAGATGGCACTGTGTTTTGCGGCTCGCGGCTTGTGGTGGGGTGAGTCCGGTGGAGTTGCCGCGGATGAGGGGGTGGACTTTACACCGCAACGGAGGCGGCAGGGGAGCGGGAGCACAGACGGAGGTACGACATCTTATCCCGCAGATACGCTCCATCCTTAAAACCCTCTTGCTGCTATCCGGCTACTGCCGCCCGCCTGTGCCACCTTCCGAGGCTGTAGCAAATGCGCCGCCAAGGCCCCACCAGGGACACGCGGCTTAGCCGGGGCTTGCGGGGGTTTGAAAACACATACACACACATACACCTTCCCCTCACCCGCCCTTCCCACGTTTGGTGGTTCACACGTCCATCTCCGTGGCCATGCCGTACCGATCACTGTCATCATCATCGGTATCAGTGTTGTACTTGTCGTACTTGGACGAAGACTCCGTGACCTACATCGCATCAAGGTGAGCCCCCGAACTTACATGTTACATAAAACAACCGCAAAGCACACCGCAGACTAAAGTAATAGGGGGGAAGAGGGGGGAAGAGGGGGGAAGGGGCCGAAAAGACGAACCACGAGCGAGTAAAGCTGCTGCCAAGGACAGAGTGCTGCAGTGCGGCCGATGTACAGGAACCAGAACTGACGGAGGAGCGCGGGGGGGAGGGAAAGAGGGGAAAGACGAACCACGTGAACGAGTGAAGCTGCTGCCAGGGCAAGAGTGTACCAGAAGTAGAACTGCCCAAAAAGCAGGGGGTGGGGGCGGAAGGAGCCTCGCCGCGGCGTTCAGATCCCCCCCCCCGTGCCTCCCCAGGCCCCTCCACTGCACCACCCCACGGACCTATACACACACACATCTATGCCCACACACCACCTTTATGTACCCCCGTCTCCACCCCTCCTACCTCATCCGCCGCCTGCTTGCTAATGGCCCTACAGCTAAAGTAGAGGATGCGCTTCATCTTCTTGTTGTAAAAGAAGTAGCTGAACGACCAGACGCTGGCTTGCTCACCTGCGGGGGGGGAGAGCGAGGGGGGAGAGGGGGAGAGAG